AGACAACAAAGATTTTCAATATTACTTTGGAAAATCTGGAGATGAAAAACCTTCTCCATGGCCTGTTAATATATTCATTTGTAGAAAAAAGAAATTAACAGACACTGAACTTTTTAACATATCTTTTCACTTTTGTTTTCCTAATTAGTTGTAGCAACGTTTAACAGATTGATGTCTTCTGTTTCCCTCTCTTTAATCGTACTGGCATAGTCACAGAATCATTCAAAGCCGGAGTCACAGATAAACATCTAATACAATATTTGTGTGGAGACACAAGTGAAAGACAACAATAAATGAAAAGCTATCATTTCATTTTATTTTATAGGTTCTCAATTGGCCCAAACCATCAGATCTAGCCTGACTTTCCCAATTAGATCTTCTGTCTGGATTAAATTAATAAGAGAATTTCTATTCTTTCTCCTCGATCCAGGCTATATGATAGCAACACAATTCATGAAGTAAAATAATACTTTTTTTAAATGAGATAATTTATAAAAGAGAATAAACGGTCAAACTGTCCAATATGAGAGTAACCCCACCAAAGAATGATTCAAAATTTCGACTTTAAAGAGATGTAGGACCAGGAACTATTTCCATCTTGCCCTCCATGAACCAAGCATATGCTAGTATCATACTGCAATTATGACCTGTTGCATGGTTTCTACCTCCACAAGATTTGACAGCACTTTGCCCCATTTTCAGTCAGCTTTTCTCAACTCACACTTTAGTTTACTTTATGAGTCTTGATTATTCCTCTGGAAATTATTCATAAAATGAACTAGGATAGCCTGCAAATATCTCTAGTTTCTCTCAGGAGGTCCAGCTTAAAGAGAAAGTTTCAGGAGGGTCAGTTTAAAAAGAGTGATTCAGAGCCCCAGTTCTTAAACACACATAATATCCTCTGCATTGCCAAGGAGCTCAATAATCGACCCAGCAGAATAACATGAGGGCAGAGATAGGACTCTGAGGTATTTCCAGCTTAATGGTCCTCCACAAGACAATCACTGTGGGGGAAATCTGACAAGTACAGATCATCTGGACATGTCCATGGAGAAGTAAGAGAAAGTTTTTACCCTTCTGTCCAACTTCGGGTGGTGGGAGCAGTAACCTGAAGCAGCTACCCCCCCCAACCAACAATCTGAGGTCAAATCCAGCTACTCCTCTCAGCACAGGCTACTCCTTCCTATATGCATCCACCACGATAAACTGGTTACATCTGAATACAGGCACTCCTAAGTTATGAACATAAGACCTCGGGGTTTACGTATAACCCACAGTTACTACCAATATCCATAAATCTTAAAAACTTGAGTTGCATACCAATGGTTCATAATAATAAACAGGTGCTACTTTGCTACATGCATCAGAACATTTATCAAAATTAAGCAAATTTTAGATCTTTCACAGGATTGCAATGAGTCGTAGTTGACTTGATGAACCTAACAACAATATTATTATGTTAGAGATATTTTAGTGTTTCTGAAATTTTTTCAACTATTTTATGCATTGTATACTATACACCCAGGACTAGATTAAAGCTTTTATTGTTTAAAAATGTGCTTTTGTTGTTTAAAAATATTTCTTTCTAATCTCCTCTCTTAAAAATTCTTTAGGGATTTCATCACAATTAAGCTGCTGAACAGTATCTCCTTCCACACATAATGAAGATACTGAACTGAGCCTTCCTTGAATTTTACACTAAGGATTTTTTTTTTATTTAAAGCAATGAAAGTAAATTTTCTATCATGTATTTTGTGATTATTGCAGTTAAGAATATGCATAAGACAGTTTCAACATTGGGAGAAACTCATTGTATATTGTATTTCTTCTGTTATGAAATCATATATGTCAATCAAGTTCATTTTCCTGAATCTGTAAACTTAGATCGAGTGGGAGAATGGGACTGCTGCACTTCTCTGTAAAGGTTTGTAGTTAAGTTATCAGGATAAGCATGCCTTTTTTTTTTATGCTTTCATGCATTCGTCATTAAGCACTTTTTAAGCAGGAAAATTTACACACATGTTCACACTTCGTTTCAAGCAAGATTCCAGTGTGTCAACAGGGTGTAGTATGTGGTACACACTCAATGTTCTATCATTTCTAAAATTTCTATCATTTACTTGGTGTGTTTTATTAATGCTACCGTGATGCTGAACAGGGCTGGTATAAGTGTCATTAGTAGACTAGTTTCCTCCCATTGTTGCTCTCGTTTATCCTTTCATCCTGTCAGCTTGGATCAATGTGTCTTTACATTAGACAACGGGTGCCCCTATTTTGTTGATGACATAAGCACATGCTTTCCTGGCTGACTGAATAATCTGTCCTTGTATATACCATTTTCTCAGATAAACATTTGACTAACTGATTTTTAATATTATGCATATTCAAGTGGTCCAGCTTGCATATAAATTGACTCACAGGCAGCTTCAAGAACAAACCTTGTTAATAATCCAGGCCTACCTGTATATCTTGAAAGCAGGAGTGGCATCCACTTCCTAAACAACATGTGTCTGGAAACTCTATGAACTTTGATAAATGTCAATAGTTGTAGAGGGGCTTCAAGCCTTTTGTTCATAAGGTTGCTATGAGTCATGCTCAACTCGAAGGCAATCAATAACAACAACGCCTGTATATCATTTGAAGTTCATGAGGCGAAAGTGACAAAAAAGAAAAATGATGCTAAAGGATGACTTTTTACAGCATCAATACTATATTTATTTCTCTATTTAAGAGAAGATCTGGGAGACAGGACATAACTGGGCAATATAAACATGATACACATCCCAATTACTTACATTATAATGCTATTAAATATCTATTAATGATTCTTTTTTAAAATCTCATAATCATCACTGACTGTTCATTTAGTTGTAACAGGCAACTAAGAATGTGTCTTTATCGATGAAAGACAACAGGTAACTCATAGTAGGGATTCTTCAGCAAGCCGTTTTCAGATAAATCAGTAAATTTCCTGGTGATGTATTAAAGTGCAATCAAGGTGCTCCTTAAAACCAAGGATGGTGAAACTTCATCTCACATACTTTGGAGAAAGCATGCTGTCAGGAGGAGCCAATGCTTGGAAAAAAGACATCATGCTGGGAAAGTTGGAGGGTCAGAGAAAGACCCTCAACAAGATGGCTTGACACAGTGACTAAAATAATGAGCTTGAACATGTCAGAGATCCTGAGGATAGCACGAGACAGGACAAGGTTCAAATCTATGGTCCATGATGTCGCTATGAGGGATAGTCAATTTGATGGCAACTGACAATGACATTTTGTTAAGTTTAAAGAGAGAATGAAAGACAGCACTCAGAATGCATGTGGAATTCTTAGACCAGAAAAGAAAGGATTAGCAACTTCTCTGTCGTCGTTCTTTGTCATAGAGTCTACTACAATTCATAGTATCCTTATGAACAATAGCTCTGAACCCTGCCCTATCCTGAGCCAAGCTCACTGTCTCTGATACATCTACCCTCATTACCCCAGTTATTGTGTCAATCTATCTCATCCAGGGTCGTTGTCTTCTGCATTGTACCTCGGCTCTTTCAAGCATGATATTCTTCTCCAAAGACTGGTCTCTCCAGGTTTCATGCCCAAAATATGTGGAGTCTCAAAACCCTTGCCTCTAAGAAATAACTTGATTTCACCCTTTCCAGGACAAATCTATTTATTCTCTTTGCAGTGCATGGAATACTGAATACTCTTCTCCAGCACCATATCTCAAAGGCATCAATTCTTCTGTGATCCTTAGTCATTGTCTCTAATGCATAGCAAGTAATTGCAAGGACTATGGCTTGAATCAGGCACATTTTAGTCTCTAGACTGACATCTTTGCTCTTCACACTCTGGAGAAGTCCCTAACAACAGATTTTCCTAATGCAATTCATCTTTTGCTGGTGGCAAAGAGTACTGATTGTGGAACTGAGCAAGCTGAAATTGTTAACTATCTCAATCTCTTTTCCATCTATCATGATGCTGCAAATTAGCCCAGTGGTAAGAATCTTTGCTTTCTTGATGTTGAGCTTCAAGTCATACTGTAAATTACAGCTCTTGACCCTCTGCAGAAAAATCTTCAGGCCTACCTCAGTTTCAGCAAGTAAGGTTGTTGAAGAGTGTTTTTCCAATCCTGATGCCACACTCCTCACATAAAGTCCAACCTCCTGAATGATCTGTTCTGCATACAGATTGAAAAGGTATGGAGACAGGACACAATCTTGACACATTCATTTTCTGATTTTGAAACATGCAGTGTTTCTTTGTTCTGCTCTGATGACTCCCTCCTGGTCCAAGTGCAAGTTTCTCATGAGCACAATCAGGTGTTCTGGGAGCCCATTCTTCTCAAGGTTAGTGTTGTGATCCACACAGTCAAATGCCTTTGCATAGTCAATGAAACACAGATAGACATTCCTCTGGTACTCTCTGCTTTTAGCCAAGATCCATCTGACATTGGCAATGATGTTTCTAGTGCCATGACTTCTGGCAAGTTGAAGAATCTTGATTTTTTTTTTTTTACTCCTGTTGCTGGTGTATACTGAGCATATATTCACATTTATGTGTATTGTTCTATACCATTGAGTAGGAATCAACTCAGGGCTGACTCTCATCAGGTTTTCAGAGGCTGTAAATCACCCAAGAGGAGATTACTCATCTTTCTCCCAGGTGGTGGACTTGAACTGTGAGACTTTGTATTGGCAACACAACTCCTTATGATTAAGCAACAGAGGTGTGTGTGTGTGTGTGTGTGTGTGTGTGTGTGTGTGTGTGTGTGTGTAGGGGGTCTTCAATTGTGCAGGAGTTGGAAGATAGCAATAGGAAAGGAAACAAAGACAGACAAAGACAATGATTGACCATACAAGTGAGGAAGTGAAAGAATGCATATTAACACTGAGCTGAGTTCTGCATATTGAAATTTTTTCTTAACGTGGATATTTTTTAAAATATAGGGCTGCAACTGTGAGCAAGATTCACACAGGAAAATTGATTTTATGTCATACTCACTATATGTCGAGCTGCAAACACCCCATCAACAATGGCACAACAGAACGCTGCCACCACACCAAAGCTGATAAACACGATCGCGGCTACCAGCTAAAAGAAGAAGACGGGAGAAGGTGTGAGGATCTCAGAAATGAGCGAGAAGTGTTCACAAAGCAAACCAACTCAAAGTCCTAACTCGATGTTCAAATTGATTTTTCCTCATTTCACTTTCCAAACACTCTCTTTGTGCTGAGTGTCCTACAGCCACGAGCAGACCCTGTCCTAGGCCAGATTTGCCTCCAACTAAGCATATTTGTGTTGTTTTTATTTGACAAGATGTCTATCAATATACTCAAGATGTAAAAATGAATAATAAAAAATATATTACAAATCCCCTTTCATCTCTTTTGGTAGACTCTAGCAGATGTAATCTTGACCACAGTTTGTTGTATACAATTACAGTTTTTGTATGCATATGCACCTCACACTTGATGTGCTTGTGTACAAGTATTGTTTCCAGAAAAATAAATACTTATTTTATATATTGTCATAGATTCTAGTTTCTTACTCAATGATCTGTCTAGGAGAACTTTCCATTTCACACACACATTTCAGGAACCAATACCTTACCAATACGTATTTATCATATATTGTGTACATAGTGCACTCATGTAAACAATACACACACACTTTAGGTGCACAGCACTCACAGGCTCTAGTGCAAAAGGGAACATAGTTTTCAAAAACCACAGAATATACATTATTTACTTAAAGATAGAATACCTTGTTTACACTTTCATATTACTACAAACATCACTACGAAGACCATAAACAGGTTCTACATAAAAAACACTTGGGCTTATGTATATATGAGCAGCCTTGGTGACTCAATTGTTAAATGCTTAGTAGCTATACAAAAGGACAGTGCTTAGAACCCTCTCACCTCTTGGTGGGAGGAAAAAAAGTAGCAATATGTTCCCATAACTGTTGTAGCCTAAGAAAGTCTATGGGTATGTTATGAGTCAGGGTCAACTTGACAACAACAATAATAATTTCTGCAGGACAGATTCCTAGAACACACATGGGACTAATATTTTCATATGGGCATATTTAGGTCTTTATATTTTAAAATTATGAGAGAGAATGGCTCATTGCCCTATAGAAAGACTGTGTCAACTTTTATTCCTATTAATAGTACTATGTCAATTTCTTCATATCACAAAGATCACTTGTTATTATTAACATTATCATTGTTATTTAACTTAAATTTCTTTGTTATTGTTTTCTTCTTCATTATAAATTTCTCAGTATTATTTTCTTATTCACTTGTTTATTGACCATTTTAGTCCTTTTTATTAAATGTCAATAGTATTGTTAGCTTGATTAACAAATGTCAAAATAAGATTAATAACTCATGCATATTCTTCACTGAGATTTCCTAAGTAATAGCATCTTTAAAAAACGCCCCTTTCCTTATCTATAACTCCTTTCTCCACAATACATTTATTTCTTCAATCCTAGAACACACATGACATTCTAGGTGGCACAGAGTTTTCAGCCACTAACCAAAAATGTAGAAAATTTTAGTTCATTCAGAGACACTCAGAAGACCGTTTTGGTCATCTACTTTTGAAAAATCAGCTACAGCAACTGGTAAAATATACCACTAATTTTTAACTTACTACTCATACTTCAGGGAGCTCTGGTGGCCTGTGGCAGCTCTGACAACCTGTGGCAAGAAGCTGAGCTACAATCCCGAAGGCACATGTCTTGAATCCACCAGCTGCTCTACAGGAGAAAGATGGGCAATATTCTGTACAATTAATGAACTGCCTTTGAAAACTTGCCAGATGGCCAGCTATGAGTTGGTTCCTACTCAACAGTACAGAACAACTCAGACCTTATGAAAAACCTACCTACACCCACAGTACAGCATGTGTGCAGTCCTTCTTGTCTTTAGTCTCGGAGAATATCAACTTAATGTGCTGTTTTTCCTAAGGACCTTAAACTACTTCTTCCCCCAGCTTCTTCACTGTGGTTATTTATATGTAATATGTGCTCCTTATTGTTGTGGACTATTGAGTTGGACCATCCAGTGGGTTTTCAGAGATAGTAAATTGTACAAGAGAAGATTATCCATCTTTCTCTTGTGGAGCAGCTACTAGATTTGAACTGTGAGCCTTTGGGTTGGTAGCACAACTTATTACCAATATGCTAGCAGTATTTATAATTTTGGAAAGTTCACTAGTTACTGTATTACAGATTGCTTTCCCTTTCCAGATCCTTGTTCATTCAAGTTCTTTTTTTTAACATGGATCTAAAAGTCATAATTAGACCATAAAAACAGACTACTTAGGAAAGCAGCTATCCTCCCATCCTTTCTCCCCCAGTCCCTCTGCTTCCACCTTTACCCCTTGTAGAGAACCAAATGCAGTAACTTCTGATTCAATTCTCTTGGGTTTTGCCTTTTCTTTCACTTTGCTTTTTCCACATCACAGCATATCCCAGAAATCATTATTTCCTATTCATTATCTTTGTCAGTTCTTTTTTTACAGTTACATGATACTTCATGTGTAATACAGTTTAAACAATGCTTTAAACAAGGCACATAACTTTGTGCATGTATGGGGTTTTATTATTGTTAGATGTGTTGTTGGGTTCCTCCCTGCCAAAAATTGAGTCAGCTTTATTTAAAACACTCAAAAAAACAAAGCCATCTTGAATAGTTGAATATATAGTTTATGTAGATGTGTATTTTTAGAATAGATACCTAAAACCAGGATGTCTGGGTCAAAAGTTTAATATAAAAGCAATTGTGTTAAAAATAGCAAAGTATCCTTTGAAAGGATTACATTAGCCTGCTTCCCACCAGCAACGTTTGAGAGTTCCTGTTTTCTCACAGCCATGTCTACAACAGACTTGTCGGCCTTTTTACTTTTCATAAATCTGATGTTAAGAAATGGAAAATCTCCTCCCATTTGACTAACTTCTTCTGAAAACCCCCAGAAGGTCAGCTATGTGTCCTTACTGACCTGAAAGCTGTTGTTATTATGTGCTGTTGAGTCTAGTATAACTCACAGCAACCCTATGAACAAAAGATCTGAACCCAGTCCTGGTTTGCACCATCCTCACACTTGCACACACAAGATTAACTGTATCTGATCTCCTTTACAGTCAGCTTGGGTGGGAAGCCTCTTGTGTTGGCAAACAGGATCTGGTGGGTGGACCTTTGTATTTAAAAGTCAGTTGAGGCCCCTCAGGTGTAGTATTGATTGTTTTAGGACAAAACATTGTTCAAAGTGGTGTCTGTCAGTTTGTTGTACTGAGATTACTTGGGGTTGCTGTGACACTGAAAACTTTGCCCCTGGTGTGTCAAATTCCAAAAGGGTTTCCCATCATGGATGGGGTTTGGTGGATCTCCCTAATTAAGACAGACTAGGAAGCAGGATGGGCTATCTACTTCCTAAATAAAAGGCTTTTGAAAACCTTATGAACACTAACCAAAGAGAACTCGAGGGTGCACAACAATTAAGAATGAGGTTGATCCCAGTTTGTCTCTGATGAACTTTATGGTTTTGGGCTTTAGTCCCAGGTCTCTGATCCGTCTTGATCTGGTTTTTGTGAGATGTGGTATGGTGTGAGATGTAGATCCTGTTTCAGCTTTCTGCAGGTGGAAGTCCAGTTTTGGCAGCACCATTTGTTGAAAAGGTTGTCATTTCCCCTTTTGATAACTGATTTCCTTGTTGAATATCAGTTGACTATAGATAGTTGGGTCTATTTCGGGGTTCTCAATTCTGTGCCATTGGTCTCTGTTCCTGTCACTGTACCAGTACCATGCTGTTTTGATTACTACTACTGTATAACAGGTTTTGAGGTCAAAGAGTGCTGTGCCTCTCCATTTTTGTTTCTCAAAAGTATTTTGCTTATTTGGGGTCTCTTGCCTCTCCACATAAATTTTGACAATTTCCCTTTTGATCTCCTCAAAAATGAATTTGGTCTCTGGATTGAGATTGATTGATTTTGGTCAGATTGTCATTTTCACAATATTGAGTCTTCTTATCCGTGCACAGGGCACAATTTTCCATTTCTTTAGGTCTTTTATTGTGTCTCACAGAAATGTTCTGTAGTTTTCTTTGTATAGGTCTTTTGTGTCTCTAGTTAGGTTCACTCCCAAGTATCTCA